CAGGGTTAACTTCCGATCAATTTTAAAATTACACGTTAGCAAATACTAATTGCAGAGTTATTGACTGACACAGTACAGTGATTCTGTTGCTCTCTCCTTTTAGGTTTATAGTATTACACATCAACAAAAAAAACTATGATCTCACAGTACTTCTTGGATCAAAAAGGCAATGCAAATTGAAAATGAAAAGTGAATAATGAAGACTTCTTGCAAATTAAAAGGTTTTTGCAGCTGCCAGAAAATCAGTTGTAGCATGCTTATAAAGGAAGGCCTTGTTTAAATGCACAAAGTGAACCCATGAACATGTGAATTAGCCTATTGTTCACTTTCAAGGCAGAAATGTAACGGTAACTTTACCCTTATTTACCTTTTTTTGGTGTCTTCATATTTTCTATTTATTACAAAAAGAATGCAAAGACTACATGACAATGACGGAGACAAGAACGAGAATTCGTAGACTACACAGTTAAAATAAAGGTTGTGTCACGGCAAGTTGCCCTTAGACAACACAAAGCTGCCTCAATTTTGGCATGCATTACATGCTTCACCAGCATGGAGGGGACACAAAGAAGCTGTGGGAAATGGCATCAGCATTTCCACAACATAGTAGCCATTATAATTCAAACACTTAAGCTGTGGCATAATCTTATGTCTACATCGTGTCATTTTGATAACCCCACAGCTCCTAGCCAAGAAATTTGGGTGGAAAGTATTTGGCCTGAGAGTACAATAACCTTCCTACAGAAAAAAAAGCTTCAGGAAACATTGAATTTGACTCATCTATTTGGCAGGCGAGCTTGTAAATAAGAAATGGTTCCAATTCTTCAAAGTAGGGGTCACAGAAAACTGCAATAATTTCATCCCTTTCAACATAATCAAAATATAATTTTCCCAAAACCTCAAAGGAACAAATGATGATAAAGCTCATTGCAGAACCAGCAGGATTAATGTTACGGAAATTAATGTTCCAGAAACACATTATATTTGCACATGAGTTTTGTTAGGAATTTTCAGACCAGTAGTGTGGTCTGCCATGGTTAAAGTAGGCTTTTATATAAATGGTATAAATAATTGCCTAATTAATCTACAAAAAAGAAATTGTCTAAAAACCTTAACAACTAGTAAATTCAGAATAACCGATAAAAAAAAATCAAATGGGGGACTAGAGGATAGTCAAAAAGCTGTTTCACACTTTTTTGGATGAACTCACTGAACAGCAAGTTACACATGTCAGGAAGGTTTCAAATTCAACTCATTGTAAATTGTTAATCTCAAAGTGCTGGTGCAAATACCATTTCATCTCAGCACTTTAAGAAAAAAGGATTCTTAGTGACCAGTGACCCCTGCTGGAAAATTGTCCCTATGCAAACCTCAATGACTAAGCAACACCCACATTACACGAGTAAATTAATAAAAAAATGCAAAGGTGTACTGCAAAATTGTTCAGGATAATATCCGAATTGTCATGAAGCCAGCCATTCACAGCCTGGCTGACCATGGGGACATCAAATATATCTCCAAGTAACTTATGAAGAGGTTCAGAGATTTGAAAAAGTTTATTCTCAAGAATGTTAACAGGAATTCAGTGACTGAGCACACCAAGTGTAAGACCATGAAGGCCATTGATGTGGTGCATGGGCTGAGGCACCAGAGACAGTCTCTTTGTCTTCAGGGTTGATGATCACTTCAGAAATAATGCAAATGTCAGTTGAAATTGTATCAAACCTCTATGATTCAACAGTCTTCTGATTTGCAGTGTTTATACTTTACATTAAGAATATTTACTTATGTGAGGGACTAAAAATATGCAATAATGATTGGAATCACAGACCATGAGGAAGGAAGAAAAGGCCTTTGCTTCATGTCGCATACAAGTTGCTAGGTTCTTAATCCAACAGAGAACAATTGACCAATTTAGGCTAATAGTGGAGCCCTTCCAGAGCTCATTACACCTTTTTAATGATTGTGGATTTTTTTCATTCCCAGGCCGTAGGTTATTGCTTTATTGGTCATCCCTGTTTGCCCTTAAGGTGGTGAGCTGCCTTCTTGAACCATTCAATGTCTATTTTGGCAAATTGGTGCAACAAAACTTCATGAAAAACAGATTTGATACTAATTCATCCTCCCACTTCACCCAATTCCTGAAGACTCACTTGCATTCCATTCACCTGCTCAACACTAAGAAACCAATCGCGCAGGTGGTTGCAGTCACCGTTTCAGGATTAGTATAAATTGAAATATTGGATTATATTTTAAGGGAATCATTCCACACTGAAGAATTTTGCATGCAAGCAGTTTCTATCCCATACATCTTATGCAGTCTGTTTTCTGTAAGACATATATATAGTGGGAAGCTTTGCTGGTCACAATGAATGCTCACACTTGTAAGACTGCACTGTGGCTGAATTCATGCAGATGAAAGTCAGGTATTTCATTTCTAAACCACGTGGAATTCAATTATCAGTTATCCATCCCCAATATTAAAGTTTAATCTTACATATAATGTGAAACACAGCAGAGACTCCAAAAGCTGGTTTCTTCACATAGGCATCGATACATGAATGCCTGGTAAACCACAACTTGGCCAACAAAACTTTTGCTTACTTTGTAATAATGTAACTGACCTTAATTTCTCTGAAATTAGTGCACATTAATTTCAAAATTAATTTCCGAGAATACATTGCATGAATACTAGTTCATACAACAGAAAATTGCCAAAACAGTTTTAATTCCCAACCGGTTAATTAACTTTAGGCAAAAAAAAATTAGTCAAAGAGGACTTTTGAATTCATTCTTCTCAAACTGAGAAGACAGTTACTTTTCTATGAGGGATCAGAAAATTTATTTTAAATCAGCTTATTATTCAATTGAAAATTAGGCTGAAATTTGGTTTATGAAATAGAACAAATTGATTGATAGTTTGTATAAATGATTTGAGGATCTGCAGAAGAAATACCACCTCAAAAAAAAACAGGCGTGCCGGAAACTTTTATTTTTATTCTTCCATGGGGTCTGGGTATCAGAGGAACTTCACAGCAAAGTTGCAGTATGGTTACAGAATTGACTAAGTTGGCTAAGACAGCAAGGGATGGATGGATGGATGTTTCTCAGACATAGAGGTAGCTTGCATTGTAAGTTTACCATGAAGCAATTTTGGATCCAATATTCTTTTACACTTTTATACATGACCTATGCTTTGGTGTAATAAAAGCAAAGTCTTGACCAACTCAGTAGGTCTGGTAGAATCTGTGGAGACAGAAGTAGGGCTAACATTTCGAGCCCGAAATGATTTATCTTTAGGGCTAAAAGGAGCTGGAAAATGGTGTGTTTTTTTTTTAAAATATTCATTCATGGGTTAAGAACTTGACTGGCTGGGCCAGTATTTATTACCCATCCACAGGTGCCCTTAGT